CCGCAGGCACTGGGACCCCCTGAGTATCTACAAAGTCTTGAACGAAGCTGTACCACGAGCCGAACTCCTCGCGAGTCTCGAAAACAGTGCCTAGAAGAGTTCCAGGCTCGGCGGTGAGACACAGGTCCGCGATGGCGTTTGCGAACTCTCGAAGATTGGCGTCGCGACGATGGCGAATGGCCTCAAGGACTGCGGATAGGGTGCGCATATGAAGCGTGTCTTCTTCGATGGACTCCATCAGCGCAGATATAGCTAGAAAAATAAGTGAAAAGTCATTAAAAAGACTATAAAATAAAAATAAAAATCATACCTGAAGGCGCATGAATAGCCAACCGGTTACGGATGACATCCCTGACGGCCCCTCGGCGTTCATCATTCAGATAGTACTCACACGAAGAAACATGCGCCGCGTCGCAAGGACCGCAGGGAGTTCCCCACCCACGAAAGGTGCAGTTCTTGACAGCGGAATCCTTGCGCGCGGAGCACTGAAGGCAAGGTTCGGGCATCTAATAAAACAGGTATCAGTACCTATGAAAACTCAGACAAAAATGAGAGGAGGAGACATACATGGATTTGTGTACCCTTAAGAACCGCGGGGAGCTCTTTAAGCCCAAATCTAGCGGTGGCATGTTCTAAAAAGAAAGTCAGCAGGGTAACCAAAATACTAGTAAAAAGAACGACTTACTAAATCGCTTCTTGTCGAACACGATGGGCTCTTGGAAAATAACGGGAGCTGGAAAAAACCTGAATTATAAAGTTAAAAAGCAAATTGAGAAAGAGAAAAAGCTTACACTTCTTACGAGGGCGACCGCGATGCTTGGGTTGAACAGAAGTTTCCTTCTGCTTGACCACCGGTGGCTTAAAGGCAGTACGCTTGGCGGAACTACGAGTAGTAGGAGGAGTCCTCGCCCGAGCCTTTCCCTTGTCAACTCGAGATGAACCTGCAACAGGCGGAGGCGTCTTGGCGCGAGCCTTGCCCTTGTCTGCACGCAAAGGCCTAGCAAGAGGTACAGAGTCCGACGAGCTCGAACGTGAACGGTTGGGATGTTGGATGGCCTCGTCATCAGATGAGGGTTTCTCAATAATCTTGCGTCGTTTACCTGGCTAAAAACCAAAAAAAAAAAAAAAAAAAAAAAAAAAAGTTAGTAAAAATGTCTAAGCAGAGGAAAATGAAGAAACTTACAGGGCCCATAGCCGCTTCAAGGGGTTGAAGACGGAGGATCGATGATCTCGACCACATCCGAATCTTCGTCCATGACCATGGCACGAGTACGCTTCGACCTTCGAACAGGGACAGGCGGCGTCGAGTCAGGCGAGGAAACTGGCAGGGACTCTGGGCCAGGGCTCGGTAGAAACAACGGATCGGATCCCGTAGGAGAAGGGGACTGAACGACATGAGCTCGACCTCGGGGAGTAATGATCCCCGGAGGTGACGAAGACCCGCGGTCGCTCGGCGCGTCCTCCTCTCCTATGTACCCCGTGGTAAAGCTGGAGTCTAGGCATTCGCCCTAGAAAGATAAAAATCATTAGAAGGAAAATAAAAAGAAAGAACGGAAGAAAGTTACTTACAGGGCTATAAAGCGCATGACCATCCAATGGTTCTTGCAGCCATTCCTCCCAGGCAGTACTTCGGTTGCGTTCTTCAACGCGTTGGGTGGCATTGTAAACGGACGCCAGTAAACGAGACTCGTGTGGCGTAGGACCACCAGGACGAGCGAGGATGTCTGAAAACAATGCTAACTAAGGCAATAAAAAGTCGAAAATCAGCAGAGAATAAAAGAAAAGAACAGAGACTCACCATATAACTATGCAGGCGGTATAGCGTAGCCATAATCTCGGCCTCAGACATAGCGTTGAGGCGGGAACGCGAGAAGAGGTCAATGCCGACTTCGAACGCTTGAACGGCGGCACGACAACCAAGGAATGCGGTAGGCATGATGGGGAAAGTTAGAAAGAAATTGTGACAATCGCTCCCATAAAGCACGAAGTTTATAGGAACGTCAGGCGGAACATACGGAATAGCGAGGCACTTTCCGAAGAATAGTCTACGGGAGAAGATCGCTGAGAATCCCTCGGTTCCGTCGACCCTGAAAATCTTAATGGACGTCAAAAACGTTAATCAACTAAGGCGTACCTAGGCAACAATAGGAATATGATGTCATGTCTTCAAAGAATAACGCGCCTGCACTAGTAATAGTAATTGACGCCGAAGGATAAAAGACACGCTTGACAGACGGTGATCTTTTGAAGACATATCAATATAAAATCCAGAAAAACACGAGGGGAACGTCCTCATACGGGGATCTAGTGATGACCGAGGACGGACAGTATTATAGTGAGGGGGAGATGATACGGAGTGTAACAATACACCCGTAAAAATGCGAATTTTAGCGATTTCTCCTATAAAACCTCCTATAGTAGAAATACAGTCACATTGATCATAAGGATCGTTAGACGCAACCCGGTCTAGTCGATTAAAGTTTACATCCGAGAAATGTGCACGCCTTAGACAGTAGGAATTGCGGTCGGTTTGTGACCGAATCACCTCAATATACTCGAAGTCTAATAAAAGGCTACACTACCATGAAATAGTATGCTACCGAGTGTTCTAGAGTAAAAACACCCCCGCACAGGGTGTTGGAGTTTACACCAAACCAGGGTCTCACCTTATTATGGATTAAAAGATATTAATTCTAAAGATAAACGCGCGAGCGTAGAAACTCGACGCGTACCTGACGCAAGAAGTCATTCGGTCACGTGCTACGAAGCATGATCCAAGAAGTCATGTGGAGAGACGCATCACGCGCATCACGCGCATCAACACATCACAAATCATGGCATCATTGACCCAAGAAAACTAAGCTTCGTGAAATATTCCGAAGTCTGCCAAAAGAGAAAAACTATGAACGATTTGCCGTGCGGTCCGAGGCCCGGGCATAGTATCTAATAATAGAGAGAAAATCACTAAGCGGACCGTTCGTCTCGGCTGAACCGATCGTGAAAACCGTTTACGGCGATTCCCGTGTACGCATCAATACTGATGCGTCGCGTCGCCACAATAGAGAAAACACTATGAAAACTTAAAAGAAGTCAGCTCAGTTGTGCCACGCACAATCGAGCCACTTCAAACCTTTACTAAAAATTCAGTATTAATTCGTCCGACCTCTCGGACAACGCACGGACATATAAATATAAATAGAAGACATAGAATAGTATAAAAAGAGGACGCGCGCAGGCTGAAACGGAAGGAATTATCCCCCGCGTTGACCAGCTGTCGCACTCCCAGTAGCATCTGAGGTAGTGGATAAGTTTGTAATCAATTTAAGGACTTTTCTTCGCAGACATAAGTAACGTGTGCCCGGAACCAGTGTGTTAAGTGGGGATCACAAGGCTTTTGTAAGGTTGTCTCGTCAATTAGTAAGAGAGCTCTCTACTATTACCGAGGAATCCAAGTGAGCATGCTTGAGGAGTCTTTAAGACTAGTTTGGACCGCATCAGAGGCATAATAAAACTCAAGGGAGTTATAAAAGTCTACAAAGCACAATTTCCT